TTCTATGGAAATGAAGAAAACAATCATGATTTGTTATACAAACTTCATAACAATCATGACGATATGAGATCTTCAAATCACAAGAAAAAACTACAAATATCTCAAAAAAAAAATTCGCAAGTCACCTAGAGTTTTACCTCTAAACTTTTGCATGCGTTGATGATAAAAATAATAATAATAATTAAAAATAAAATAATAGAAAATTTACACACCACCAAATAATGGTATACAAAAATTATGGCTATTTTGGTTATTTTTCTTATTTATGGTGATTTATGGTGATTTTGTAGAAAAACCTTTCAAAAAAAATGGCGATCATGATATTTTCTCTATAAATTAAGTCTCATATTTTATCATTTTAGTATATAATATGAATCTCCTAACTTATATAATATTTTCCATTTATATCTTTTATTTTTCAAAAGTTTATAATTTTACCTTTATTACACACGATATATAAATTTGTTTATTAAGATTACAAAATCAAAATTTAAGTACCACTTAAACAACTTATACCTTTACAAAAACAAAAAATTGCATATTGCATATTATTTTCATCTAGAAAAATAGATATTATATTGTTCATCTTAAAAATAAAAAGTGTAAGTTGTCACTTTCATCTAAAAATGTTACAAGCAAACGTAAAAAAGTTATAGAATCATTTAATCTTAGTTCAGTTTTATAAATTCAGTTTACAAATTTCGATTTTCATAATCCTTCTTTCATAAACAAATATTCTATCAAATTTGCAATTTTTTTAGATTCTCTTTATTCTTAATTCACATTTCTAACTTCAGCTACCAATCTTCATTTGCAACTTAGTCATAAGGTAGTTAATATTTTCTTAATTTCAAATATCTACTATATACTATTATATGTAGAATAATAATTTATGTATTTTATCTTTACTATTTATTTTGCCGATGCATTCCTTAAAGCTTGAGTAGAACTGAAAAAAAAAATACTCACAAACAAATAATTTGACCTACAAATACTAGTTTGTAGATATTCTTCATAATATTGTGAAGTATCATAGTCGGTCCATCTCATGATTTTGTGACCGACCCTCAAATATACTATTTTGTTTACCTAGTATTGATAGATGTTAGACATAAAATAACTTCGTATATGATAAACCTAATTTCCAATTTAGTGGCGATAGTCTTAGCGAGCCGTTAAGTGATGTTGGAGATGATTTCCATGATGTAAGTGAAATTTTGATTATAAACTTTATGAATGATATTGGAGACATAGGAGATAATGACATAACCTATTTTCAAGAAAACATTCATATAGATTTTTGGAATGAATCTGGAAACAAAATAATGTTAGAACTGCAATTTGAGAGTAATGAATGGGTAAAAAGAGGCACTAACACTTTGGTTGATGGCCCAAAATAAAAAGTTTAAGGTTTGGGAAAGTAAAAGGAGCTTTTGGATAGCAAAGTGTAGGAATCTAGGGGTGAAGGGGAAAATTCTAATATTGTCTTGTATATACCACAATGTGAATGGACCGCAATGTGAATAGTATGTTCAGGCAATGAAAAGGAAAAACCATCATGTATGGAAGATTACTCATTGGGCCGATGAATACAATTGCTTTGGATCTTGTATAGACAATAATAACATAAATTTAAACTATGTAATTATTGCCTCCTACATCATACACTTAATTCAAAACGACATTGCTTACCCAGTGAAACATATATAAGAAAATATTAAAAACAGAATGAGTGTTGATGTTTCTTATTGGAAAGCATGACATGGTAGGAGAAAAGAAATAGATTATATTTATGGAACTTGAGAGAGTAACTTTATAGAGTTTCCTAGTATACTACAGATTTGAAAGCTTCAAATCCTACTATAATTGTGAAATGAATTCATTGTTGAAATGACTCATCATACGTGGCAACATTTAAATATATATTTTGGGCTTTTGGACTTGCTATTAATGCATTTAATCTAATATTGACATGTCCTTTTCATCAATGTTTGTCATTTGAAGGATTCATATAAGGGTAAAATTCTTATTGTTTTTACAAATCGATGCCAACAATAATATATTATCGGTTTCTTACACCATCATTGATGAGGAGATTATGTACAACTAGGGTTGATTTTTGTATACATTTTGTTGTTCAAGACAGACAATTATGCGTTAATGCAGACAAACATCAAGGAATAATTCACATAATGGAAAATCTATAGGAATGGAAATGGTCTTTAGGATACCATTGTTTTTGTTTTCGAAACATCCAAAAATAAGGACATGAAGAAAAAAATACAAAAACTCGAGCCTTAAAACATTTTGTTGGGCTATTGACATAAACCACACAAAAAAGAAAACTCATAAGGTACATAAAAGCAATCGATTATGAAGCTTGGTAGTATTTAAAACAAATTGGAAAACGTTGGTGTTGTTTTTTATATGATGAAAATCGATGATAGGGTTGTTAACGACAAATATCTCTAAGAGTATGAATAATGCATCGTGAGGAGAGCAAGTCAATTAGATATTGTTTTGAATGTGTTGATATGATTTTTCTTTAATGATATAATTTGCTAAAAGTAATATATAAATGAGTTGATGTCATTGTTGCCCAACGAACTTTTCATTTTTAGTTTAAACTGTCCCTAATGTTATTTTTTGGTGTTCTAAAGGCATAAAATCTACATGTTAAAAAGAGTATTAATCTTTAAAAGAGTATTAATCTTTTTTTTCCAGCGGTTATATAGGTAAAAAGGACGAGGTGGAATAATGACATGGCTTCTAAATATTTTTTTTAAAAACATTGCGATTGATGACATGGTATATCTCCCTATTCTAATAAATGAATAAGTTTATTCTCCTATTGACAAATGTCACAATATTAGAAATCCTCATTAATATTATATGTCACCTATCATGCCATATGTCAACCTATTAATTATCTATTATAAATTTTAAATTTTAAATTTCCCACTCTAATTATATCAAATTAAAATATGATTCTTTATTTCAAATTTCAAATTTTAAATTTCACACTCTAATTACATTAAATTAATAACATTAAAACAAAAAATAAAATAAATTAATATTTATATTATAAGGTGATATATAATTTCATTTATTTATTTAAATCAACGATTACAATTTTATATAACTAAAAAATATCTCTTAATTAATAATTTATTTAAATAATTTATTTGAAATAATTGAATAATTTTGAGTTTTTACTATGAAAGTTTAATTAATTTTATCACCATGGTTTTCACGGGTTATAAACTAGTACGGTAATAAATGTAATAGAATTTTATAATTATAATTATAATTGATGTTCTTGGGACCTGCATTTGAGTAATTTAGTCGTCTTCAACATCCAACAACACCAAGCATTTCCCAACACAACGATTCATTAACAGATGGTGACACAGATCAATAATCTTCAACCTCCTCCCTTTTCTCTCTCTCTCTCTCTCTCTCTCTCTACCATTTTGCTCTGTGTAAGAACTCTAAACAAACACCACCACCGATGTAACACCATCAATCGCCACCGCCGCAAATGTCACAATCCAACAACCAGTGCACCTCAGAACCACCCTGCACCGCCACCGCAACTACACATTCACCCTCAAACGCCATTTGCAGATCTGGAAATCGAACAGAAATGGATTGTTGTCCCTTATTGTCCCTTATTTTTCTCTTCCTCTCTTCCTTCCTTTTGTGAAATCCACCACCGCTATTTATGATTTTGATCTTGATTTTATTTTTTACATGAATAATTGGCTTGTCTTCGTTCTGGGAAACCTTGATGAAGAATGTGTAGCAATGATTCTGATTTTGGATTCATTATGTGTAGCAATCTACCTAAATACACAACCTCTAACACATACTCCTCTCTGTCTCTATCCTTTTGCTTTGTCTAAGAGCACTAAACACACAACATTAAACCATTCGGAGATCTGGAAATCAAATAGAAATGTATTTAGTTTCCGATTGACTTGGATTTGATTTCCGATTGGTTTTTGGGTGGCTTTGAAATAGGTGTGGTTTTTTTTGGGTCATCCAAGAAAACTCATGCAAATGTATAATCTACCCATTTTTATAAAATATTTCTAAAATTAACCTATATTTAAAAAAAAAAAATCCATGTTGAATAGCGAAATCAAAATTTTAATATGCTTTCAAAGTTGAAATATCAAAATTCATAGAATTGATTAGGGGTGTTCGTTTGGATGGATCGGTTTGATCCGATCCAATCAGGTGAATCCAAATTAATTTCGGTTTTCAAAAAGTGAATCTGAATAGTCCAAATTAAATTCAAATCCGATCCAAACCATTCAAATTACAATTCGGTTGGATCGATTTTCACAATTCGGTTTTCAATAAGAAAGACATTTAAAAATATATACTACATAATATTAATCAACTTTAAAATAAATTGTTTGGTGAGAATTAAAATTATGAACAACTATTAAAACTTTTATTATAATTCAATATTTTATAGATAAAAAATTATTGAAAAGTATACATTGAAGTATTGTATTGGATAATACTTTCTAATCTATTTAAAAAATCAATTTAGCAAATTAATAAATAACTAAAAGATGTATATTTGAAGCAAATATATAAATAAATAAATAATAAACCTTTATTCGGTTTTTTTGAACTATTCAGTTTTAATTTTATAAACCGTAACCAATCCGAAATCCAAAATAATAATTCGGTTTTACTGGAAACTCATCCAAAAATCCAAAAATCCGAACCAAATAGTCAAATCCAAATTGTCCAATTGGACAATTCGGTTTTATCCGAATAGTGAAAGCCCTGGAATTGATTGCATAATGTGAAATCTTGGAATTTTTATAAGCGAGGAAACCTTCTAGTAAAACAATATCCCCAAACAGCAAACCCTTCATGTTCCATAACGTCGATTGGTATTATTACGCATGTAATTTGCATTTAATATGATGTTAATATAAGTTATACAGCACATACAGAGGCTCATCAGTCTTAAGAATATGGCTACCAGTTCAAATTCAGATATTTACAACACTGTAGATGATTTCTACTTCTCAGCTCTCCACGACAACGATGAAATCTTTCCCATTTCCGATGAGAAATACGCCGAGGAACTTCAACTTCAAGAGGCTCTTGTATCTTCAGCATCTCTAACAAGTCCATCGTCATCATCATTCCCTTCCACTTCTACACCTCGACCTGTATTGAAGAGGAAGCAGGCACTTCTACCATCTGAAGCAGCGCAATCATCAGAGAGCTTCTGCGGTATTTGCATGGACTCCAAAAGTTCATCTGAAATGTTTACAAACGCAACAGTCTGCGGTCATCTGTTCTGTTCAGATTGCATACGTGGACACGTATCTGCGAAAATCAAAGAGAACATTGTTTTGGTGAAGTGTCCAGAACCCAAATGCAAAGGGCTAATAGGACCAGAAATTTGTCGACCCATTGTCCCAAAAGAAGTGCTTGAAAGATGGGAAGACGCTTTGTGCGAGTCGTTGATCCTAGGTTCTCAGAAATTCTACTGCCCGTTTAAAGATTGTTCGGCCATGTTGGTGGATGATGGCGGAGAAGCTGTGACATCATCGGAATGCCCAAACTGCAACAGATTGTTCTGTGCGCAGTGTAAGGTGGCATCGCATCCCGGGATGGACTGCAGTGAGTATAAGAGCTTAAAGGAATATGAAAGAAATCCAGAAGATTTAATGTTAATGGAGCTCGCCAAGAACAAAAAGTGGAGAAGGTGCCCAAGCTGTAACTTTTATGTCGAAAAAAACGAGGGTTGTCAGCACATATCTTGCAGGTAACTTTCATGGCTTTTTATGTTGTGGTTTTGCATAAGGTTTAACGAACTAACTGGTCTTAATATGCACAGGTGTGGGTATCATTTTTGCTATGGATGTGGAAAGGAGCACAATGGAAGCCATGCCTGTGTTTTTACCTGATTTGTCAGCTTAGCATCAAGGGGAAAACGTTTTTTATTTCCTTCATTTTTAAATCGTATTTAATACGGTGCGTTCGTTTTGCACTTTCTTGTATTTTAATTTAAAATTTCTATTTGTGTTTGAAGTGAACATTGAGATTGAAGAAAATCTTTATCTGATTGTTTATGCTTTCTCTTTTTCTGCTTACTGAAATCTTCATATAACAATCAGTATAAGTGTATGTATGTATACGTGATGTGTGGTGGCTCTAAAATTGTTGTATATATCTGAGAGGATCATTCTTTGGAGGGAGCAATTGTTATGGTAGCTTAGTTTAGAAACACTATTCTATTATTCAAAATCTGAATTTTAAAATAGAATAAGGTTAGGAAGAGCAAAGAACTTAAGAGAATTGAAGATGGCTTATCTGTCATCCATTCAATATTGCCAGCATGCATTCATAACTTTTTTATAATACACCGATATAAATTAAAAAAATATTTGGATAAAAATATTATAATGGTAACAAATTGTTGTAACCTCTTACTTATTAGTTTATAAGTTAATAAGTTATTAAGTAGTTTATAAGTTAATAAGTTATTAAGATAATAAGCCATAAGTTTTTTTCACCAAACACTTCCTTAATAGATTAATAGATATAATGAGACTTTATATCTTATAACACTAACTTCTTTATTTATTAGTGGCATAATACATTCAAATGCCACTAAACCTTTAATTTTTTTATCAGTAGAAAAAAAATTCATTTAAATATTTAAAAACCCCAAAATATAAAACTTGAATAACATTTGAGGACCGCCTCTCTGTCCTACCTAGTGAAAAAACGAAAAAGTGTATCATCAAATCCTGCTTCAGAAATTGAAATTCATTGATTCAGAAGATAGAACGAGACTTTTTCATGGTTGGGGTGTTTATTTGGATGGATCGGTTCGATCTGATCCAATTAAGTGAATCCAAATTGATTTCGGTTTTCAAAACATGCATCCAAAAATCCAAACTAAATTAAACCCGATCCGATCAGATCCAATTACAATTCGGTTGGATCGGTTTTATAATTCGGTTTACAAAAACGAGTCATTTTAAAACGACATAATTATAATATTACCTAATTTTACAGAAAAAACAAAAACAAATTATTTAGTTACTATTTAAAATTTATAAACAACTACTAATAAGTAATATTATAGTTTAATATATTGTAGATAAAAAACTATTGAGAAAAAATCCATATTAATATTTTTTATTAGGCATCATTTTTTGAACCTATTTAAAAAAATAAATGACAAACTTAATAAATATTTATAATATTAAATAAATAATAAATTTTTATTCGGTTTTTGTATTTTTTTTAGTTCTTATTTTATAAACCAAAACCAATCCGAAATCCAAAATAATAATCAGTTTTGTTGAAAAACAATCTGAACATCCGAATATCCAAACCAAATAGTTCAATCAAAATTGTCTAATTTGACAATTCAGTTTTATCCAAACAGTGAACAATCCTATTCATGGTTCCCTCTATACATGATCCACTCCGCCCTGCTCTGCCGCTCAACCGTTCCGACCTAGATCGCATCGCTCGCCTTGCTCTACCGCTCCATCACTTTGCCCTAGTCGTCTCACTTCGTCCGGCCCTCTTCCACCTTGCTTAGTCCTAGATCGACTGCCCTCCTTCCTGTCGTTGTAAGTTTCTCTTCATCTCTATCATTTCTTTATTATATTGATTTTTGCTCGAAGTAGTCATATGAAGAAATTTATGTTTTCTGGTTTGTCATTTTATTTAGAACAAGAGTCGAGAGATTTGTAGGTTTTTAGAGAAATATGGGGCGTTATCCAGCAGTTTGGGAATCCAAAATCATAACAGAAAAAGTCAAAAACTGTAATGGAAACGATCAGATCTGCTTTGAAATCCACAAGGCACTTCGGTTAGGGTTTGATCCATTTCTATAACCTTGTTTTCATAATTTCTTGACCATACCAATGAAGTAATTTAATTCTCACTTTTTTGGGTTAGAATTGTTTACTGATTCATACAAATTCATTGTTCTAGGTCGGCTTGCATGGTAGCCAATTCATTTATGGTGGAATGATCAAAGCCAAGAACTCCTGTTTACTAGTAGTAAGGTGTCCCCTCTGTGACAACCCAAGAAATATGTCATCGTTGCCGTCAATAGCCAACATTAAAACACGATCATACAATCTTGTAAACGCCTAAAATTTCAACTACCATCCCCATTGACGTCAAACCATAGGCTCAAAAATAAGTGTGCAAAAAGTCACGTCACTTTGCAATCAAGTTAACATACTTAGATTCTACACGCTACCGCGATTCAAGAAATATAAATTTCGCAAGAATCTGACACAGTATGGGCGAGATATGACATTTATAGTAAATAAATGTATGTCGTACTTAAAAAGTTACAACGACGAAAACTACAAGGTGATTGGTCGACTTTAGGGAAAAGTCGACAATTAGGCAATCGTAGTACTACTTAAAGTAGGAATTATGGAACAAAGAACGCCTAAAACGGAAATCATATGAGGAATATAAGATTTTTATAAAATCATAAAAGTAATAAAAACTAGCTGAAAAACGAAAGTCAAAACCAGCAAAAACGGCCAAAAGGAAAGTTGTAGAGAATGATGAGATCTACAAGGATATATAAAAGTCATAGAAAACGGAGTTCGTATGTGAGAGTTAAGGAATTTCAAAGTTTAATATTATCGTCGTGCGCACACACGCACAGTACACCGCGTGCACCTGACACTTGATATGTCTAGATATGGACTGACATGGCACACCGAGAGGACGACACATGGTAGCATCGTACGGTTCACACGCATATTACGCAACATGCAGCCCGAAACTCCTATAAATAGCAAGTCTCAGCTGATCTCGCCTCACACCTCAACACACATCTCTCTCTCCCTCTTAAAATTCATGTCGATGACTCCTGAGCGCCTGTCTAGTGTCGGACTTGTGGTTTTTCTATCCTACATCAATGGTTTCATGAAATACAGGGGTGGGGAATACATGTTTAAAATGCAACTTTACATAGTTATTACTAATTGTAGTTAGATGATTCTGCTCATAACATTAGGATGATATTATGCCCGACAAATACTCTGCCCAAGCTCTTTAGCTAATATTATGCCTAGTCGTTCTGCTAAACCACTATGATAGATAAGATCATACTTAGTTGTCAAGTTGGCCAGTTGCCAGGAAATGTTGAAACTCGTTATTATAGCCACCCTTTGGATAAGCTTAGTACCTAGTGTTACTCTGCCCAAATACTCAGCTACGCAAAACACACTAATTATATATACATATCAGATAAATAATATATATATATATATATATATATATATATATATATATATATATATATATATATATATATATATATATATATATATATATATATATATATAATAAGTAAACCCGTATAAATACAACGTGAATAACAACACGACCGACCAGGGGAGGCCTCCACAACAAGAGTTAGATGAGACACGATTCATCAACACTCTGATAGATTTTCAGTTAGCTCCCTGCCTATAATCGTTAAATCTTAAGTGATCGGGAGAGATATGTATAGATCTATACGAGATTGACACTCCTACCTGTGGTTGCTAGCTACAACTGTTACATCCCAAAAATCATAGAAAATTAAATTTTTCAAAAACAACCCATTAGCCATAAAGTGTTTACAAAACCATTGTTTCAAAAATATAATCATAATCAGAGTATCCCAAGATCCAATATCATAAAAAAAAGGAAGATGTGCACGATCACGCCCTCGCTTTCCTATGATCCTATGAAGTACAAAAAACAATAAAGTGAAGCTATAAGCCAAAGCTTAGTGAGTTCCCCCAAAGTACCACCACACAACATAACAAATAACAACATGAAAATATGAGCCTTCAGCCTGACTGGACCGCTTTCCAGGGCCTACAGCCAATCTGGACCGCTCTTTGGGCCTTCGACCTGATTGGACTGCCTCGTAGGGCCTACAACCTATCAAGACAACCTCGAGTATCTTGGTCTTCAGCACAAAGCAGGACCGCCTCAACCCATCCATAATATGTCGACATATACAACAGATAAACATAATCACATATCCAACAAATACATGTAATCATATAGATCTACTAATCTATCATATAACTAGCATGACATCATCCTATATACCAAGATACATAACCTAGTGGGTCGGCATTGGTGTCTTCGACCCACAAGTACAGTGAGGAAAACTCGCCTCTCAGTTTGAACAAATAATTGAATAGGTATCTGCTTCGAATATCAGCTCTACCCGTTACCTATTCATCAAATAGCGACCAATCTCAAATACAACTCAAAATACCCAAAATAACCTTAGGTCAAACTTTGTCAAATCCTTGTCAAAGTCAAAGTCAAAAAGTCAAACTTGGTCAACAGAGTTGAGTACGCCCAGCATACCCAGCTGGTACGCATGGCGTACAAGAGGCTTGACCAAGGCACGATGAGTTGACTCAGTACGTCCAACGTACCTGGGTTATGCCCAACGTACGCGGCTGAGTCCTTCCTTCTCGTTAACAACTTAATCCTTAAGCTCTTTTGCTCATAATCCAGATCTAGTCTTAAACTAACGTCCTTAACCATAAAGTTTCCAAATTTATGGTCTTGCATGGCCAACAGGTCCCCATTAACAAAAACCCTAACTACTTAACCCATTAAGACCTTGTAACTCATGCATGGAAGGAAACTAACAATCAAGATTACATTTTTTGCTTCTAGATGCTCCAAAATGTCTAAAAGGACAACTTATATGGACAAGAATAATCCATACTCATAATACCGAGCTTATGGGACCAAAAGAACACAATTTCATGGATAAACAAGATCTAATCAATGCTTAATCAAGTTCAGGGCTTTTTACCTACAAATGGTGTCAAATGACGTTGTTATTCTGGATCCAAACAATTCCACTTCTCCAAGATGACCTTCTCTTCTTTCTCCA